GGCTTTTACTATTACAAAGTGATGCCTTTCAAATTGAAAAATATAAGGGCAACTTACTAAAGGCTGGTAAACAAGGTGTTTAAAAATCAGATTGGTCATAACATGGAAGTATACGTGAATGACATGATAGTCAAAAGCAAGAGCTTAATCAAGCACTTGAAAGACTTGAAATAGACTTTCAACACCTTGAAAAAGTACACTATGAGACTTAATTTGAGCAAATGTGCCTTCAAGGTTACGTTGGGTAAGTTTTTTGGTTACATGATCAATAAAAGAAGGATAAAGATGACCCAAAAAAGGTTCAGGCAATCATAAATATAAAGCTACTAACCTCAATAAAAAAGGTATAAAGGTTAATTAGATGAATAGCCACTTTAAGTCTATTCATATCCAGGTCAGTAAAATGATGTCTAGCATTCTTCAAAATTTTCAAAAACATTTATGACTTTAAATGGACCTTTTAATGTCAAAAAGCTTTTGAAGAGCTTAAAAAGTTCTTATCTTCTCTACCTATCATGTCTAAGCCAAGACCTGATGAAATCTTGTACTTATACAAGGTCACTATGGACCAAGCCATCGGCTTGATATTGGTTTGAAAAGAAGAAGAAAAACAAAGACTACAACGGTATAGAAAAATTAGCTTACATAATTATCACTTCGATTAAAAAACTCAAGCCATATTTCCAACCCATGTGATCCACATATTGACCATCCAACCATTGAGAGAAATCTTATAGAAGCTAAAAATATCAAGAAGGTTAATTAAATATGTAGTAGAGTTCAGTGAATTTAACTTAAACATCCTACCCAGGTTAGTCTTGAAATCTCAAGTGCTGGTAAACTTCATTGTAGAGCTCACCTAGGTACATATTGAAAAAAAAAACTTAAGAAAAAAGAGAAAACCTTGGATAAGGAAAATTGAAAGCTTTGTGTGGATCGATTAGCCACAAATCACAGTGAAAGAGTCTGCCTTATTCTAATTAGCTCGTAAGGACTGCAATATCCATATGCCTTGAAATTTAAGTTTAGGGCATCTAATAATAAGGTGAAATATGAGGCATTGATAGCTAGTTTAAGGTTGGCAATTAAGCTAAATGTTCAATAAATAACTGCGTATAGTGACTCATAACTAGTGGTTGACCAAATAAATAGGGAGTTCAAAGCTTGAGAAGAAGGAATTCAAAAATATCCAAATAAAGCATTGGCCTTAGTGGTTGGTTTCTAAAAGGCTGAGGTCTAGAAAATACTGAAGTCAAAAAATTTATTGGTAGACTCCTTATCTAAGATGGCTTTATAAAAAATAATACAAAGTCTGGGCTAAGTTTTGGTAGAAAAATTGGCATACAAAAGCACTGAGGATAAGCACGTAAGATATATCACAAAAAAAGAAACCTGGATAACATCGATCAAGGTATATCCGACCACAAGAACACTACCTAAAGATCGAATATGAGCTAAAGCATTAATGAGGAAAACTCTTTGGTAATGATGATTAAAGAAAGTTATACAGAAGATCTTTTAGCTTCCCTTATCTAATATTCATTAATGAAGAAAAAGTAGACTACGTCCTATGAGAAATTCATGAAGGAATATGTGGAAATCACCTCAGACCACGGACATTAGCTTACAAAGTGCTTAGAAAAGGCTATTATTGGCCCACCATTAGAAGGGATATGACTAAGCTAGTCAAGAGATCAATAAAAGTAAAAAATTTGCTCATGTGCAGTATATCCCCTTAACCAAACTCACTCTTATCATCATTTGTGGCCATTTATACACTAAAGAATGGATATCTTCAGACCATTCACCCTGGCCACAAGTTAAAGAGATTTATCTTAATAGTAGTAGATTATTTCACAAAATGGCTTCAAGTTGAGGCCTTAGCCACTACCATAGAGACCCAAGTGGAAAACTTTATGTAAAAGAATATAGTGAGTAGATTTATCTTACCTCGATCCATAATAATAGACAATGGCAAACAATTTGAAAACTTAAGGTTCAAGAAATAGCATTCAAACCTTTACATCGACTTGAGATTCACATCAGTTGCCAACACTCAATCCAATGGACAAACTGAAGTAGTGAACAAGACAATATTAAAAACCTTAAATAAGAGACTGGATGTAGCAAAAGGGAAGTGGATCGATAAACTATCAAAAGTGTTATGGGTTCTAAAGATGACCATTAAGGTACCAATAGGTGAAAACCCATTTCATTTAGCATTTAGAACAGAGGTTGTGGTACCTGTTGAGATCAGTCTTTCGAGTTTAAGGGTCGAATTAGGGTCAGAAAAAGAAAATGAAAAAGCATTAAGTGTTGACCTAGACCTCTTCGAAGGTCAGAAAGATATAACATTGACATGGATAGCAGCTTACCAGCAAAAGGTATTTAGCTATTATAACAAAAAGGTCTGACGTAAACACATCGAGAAAGATAACTTGGTCCTTAAAAAAGTTAAAGGAGTAGATGACCAAGGTGGTAAATTAACCTTGACCTAGGAATGACCATATATAGTTAAAGAGATCATCCATGACATGACTTACTAACTATAGGATATGAATGGTAACATCATCCCAAGGACTTGGAATACAAATAACTTAAAGGTCTATTATCAATCGATCTAACAAAATTTAACTTGAAACTTGAATAGATTTTTCAGTTAATTTAATTCAAGTGACCAAGTAAATCAAGCTTTACGTAATCAACCTTGGCCAAATCAAACACCGAGCTTAGACTTGTGCAAATAAAGAAAAAATTATTGTGATTAATCGAGCTTAAACTTACAAATAAGGAAAAAAATTATAACTGAAGCTTAAGCTGAACAAAGAAAAAATTTATATCTTATTTTCTATTGTTAAAGTTGTTAACAAATGATTCGTCAGCTGATCATTCCTATCTAAAGTCATCACAAAAACTAACATCATACATCAGTAATTCTAAAACAAAATATTTTACAAAAGTTAAACAAGTTAAAAAGGAAAATGAATCATGCATCAACAATGTCAGTAGAAGCAGTAGCGGCACCCTCATCAATAAGACCAATAACAACAACTTTAGCCTTCCTAGCTTTTCCCATGTCATGCTTGAAACCTAAAGCTATCTCGAGCTTGGTAACTATAGCCTCGTCATCATTTTCCTCTTTTTCTTTACACTCTTTTCGACCCGATTTAGAGGAGACCTTGATCTAATATTATTGATATCAATATTAGAAAGGTTGAGATTGAGGTTAAAAAATCTAAAATGTACCTTATCCTTGGCCAGTTGAAAGGCACTGAGCACATTTTTTTTAAAAAACTCCACTTTTAGCTAGAGGAATTCGCTGGTAGTCTTGAACTCCTTAATAGCTTTTTTTTTTCAGATATTTTTTTCTCTCTTTTAGCCTCTAACTTAGACATCAACCTTATTATCTTAGTCTGAGTATCATTGAGCTTGAGCTCTATCTATTCCCTTAAAGAATTGGTTGAGGCTTTCCTAATCAGGACGACCTCTAACTTTGATATTAGCTCATAATTTTTTTTCTCTATTCAACCTTCTTTTTATGGGATGCACTAAGGCTAGACCTAACATTGTTTAGAACGTCTGAGCTCTTTTATGCTCCTCGATCATGATAGCTACATCTTTTTTTTCCTTCAAGAAGTGGGCCATAGTGAGGCAACCATAGTGGAGGGCCTAGTTGGTGTTGTTCAAGGGCTGAGGTGGGAGCTTATGTTAGAATGCATAGGAAGAACTCAGATTTTAAGTAAAAAAAAAATTAAGCTGAAGTCAGATAGCACATACCAAGGGGGACCATGACCTTGTAGAACCTTTTTACCATATCAAAGTTCTCAATGAGGTCATCGGTGGAAGCAAACTCCAACCTCATACAGATCTTCTTTGAGCTAGACATTAACATCCTAGCTTCAAGATTCTTTAAAGTGGTAGATAAGACCTCTACCTTCAATTTTTTGACAGGAAGAAGTGCTTGTGCTGAGGAATGATCTTGGCCAATCATAGACTCCATCTTTCAGGTTACTGGAGAACGCTGAGCTAAGGGGTTAATAACTTTGTCCCTTCATAAAATAAGGCCCAAAGTTGATCTTTTTGTACCTTTTTTTGGGCCTAGGTGCATGCTGGTATACGGTAAAGTTGAAGTCTTCATTGGCAAACATCTTTGCAAGATCGAGCTAAAAGTTAAATAAAAACTAGGTTAAAATAAAATCCTACAAGGTTATCTCATACATATCCCAGTACTTCGTCCCATTTATTACTTTTGGAGAGGTCAGTTCGTGGGCATCAATAATGAGCTTTTCCTATGGGTATACTCTAGTATTTTATCCTAATCTAATAGATCTAAGGTGAAAATAGGCATCGGTGCATCCACAAAGATGTCAGGCCTATTTATTATCTCCTATGCCTCAACGTCGACAACAGTGTCGACCTTTGACCCACCATCTTTATTTATCTTTTGTTTCTTAAGGTAAAAAAAGATTAGTTTTTGTTTTTTTATTGAGGATGGGTAATTGGCAAATAATTTTTTATTCAACTGAGTTGTTATGTAACACCACCTATTATCGCTAGGGTGTTTGTTAAGGGAAAAAATTTTTGAAATAAAGGGAGAGTGGAAAAAATGTTCAAATGTTGACAAAGAATATGAAATATACTATGTACCGTATAAATTTGAGAGTGAGATGAGTGATGGATAAATTGTAAGAATTAAAAATTAAAACAAACAAAGAATGAAATGGAGGCCTCAGACTGGCCACGAATGAATGCCAATATAAATAAAGCTGATATGGCTACAGTCTATCAGTGATCTGATCTAAGGAGTTTGACATTAATATACTATACCTTTCTTTGAGAAAAAAGAAATGTTGTCTCTAGAGTGCGGACGTGATGAACTAAACATATATTAGGACAGTTTTTAGGATTAGCCCTGCTCTTTAGTTCCTTCATCACATCCTTGGAGATCATACCAAAGTCACAAAGAGTATATACAAAAACCTCGACCAATTCAACCTGCTCTATAGGATCACCTCCTCATTATCACTTTCCCTAGCAGTGGTTTTCTCTTCCCCTTGTTCCTTGTCAAAACATTTTTCATCATCAAAATCTTCATTGCCAGAAGACTCTGACTCCTGAGTAGGAGCAAGATTCTGAGGTTGAACTATGGTCGAGAGCAACACAACTTCGAGGGAAGAAGGATGAAGTGGAGACCCTTCAAGTGAACAAATAATCTTAATAAGAATTGACCAAAGTGGAATAGAAGTGACGATGGGAGCATCAATTAGTGAAAGAGCAGAAGTAGAATAAAGTTGATGAGACTTAACCTAGAAGGGGGAACAACGAAAGATGAATGAAGGTCGACCATAGAAGATGGACTGACCTAAGAGATAGGGGAAAAAAGGTGGATTTTATAGGTCAAAATCTATCTAAACACATAGTTCCTTTGTGCTTAAGACCTGTTCTCCTTTTATCCGAGCATTGTCCTTGTTTTGTTGCTTCCTTTCTTTACACATTGGATTGAACCAAAAGGCTATCCTCTAACAATCATAACCTTTGATGACTGGTAGAATTAGGTTGTCTTCATCCTACCTAAGCTGACCTCCTTAGGTTCTACCCTAAAACTCCTGGCCTACCCAAAACTTAAATTATAAGACATAGTTGAAAGTACAAACTAAAGAAAATAGAGAAAAAACAACTTTAAGGTAGGAAAGCTTTAAGATCAAAAAGTTTAGATCAGACTGAGAGCAAAAATAACAAAAAAGTGAAAAATGAAAGCCCCAACAACCATTTATATAGACACGCCACATATTACATGAATAGCATAGACCACGCCACATGTTAGAACGAAGATGGGAATATGTCTTTTCTTTTTCCCTCTTTAAAATTTCCTCCTTAAACTACCTTTCTCTTCATTTAATGTTGTCAGATCGACTAGACCGAACATCTCTTAGGGATAGATCGGACTCCTAGTTTGTCATTAAAGTTCAAAGTAAAGACTCAAATTCAAACTATTGAACATAAGTCCTACGTTGACCAGACGAACTCTAACACTAATCTCGAATCATCCCCAATAATTAACACTTTGGCAACCTTCAAGCTAGCTATGCACTTAACCTAAGACATACGCGTAAGATCAGACCCCCACAAGGTCGCACCATGGCTCAAGGCTAATTGTCCCCCAATGCCGACCCCTATGACGTTAGCTTTGAAGAATCAAATTTCACATAATCTCCTTTTACCTATCTGCCCTACGTGGAGTATGTCGAGCGTACACCCAGCAGTTTAATACTTAGATTGTTTGAGGAAGATAGAATGTTGAGGGCATTTAGCGGTAAAAGAGGTATAGTGATCTTTTTTTTTCTATTTGAAACCTTTAGTAGACAACTATGGGTAATTTCGATATTTGTACCAACCTGACATATCAGGTCGATTTGACACACCAATTGCCACATCAGCTTAGCATTTTGTTATTGTCCCTTAATGGTCTCATATCGCTTATCTATAAATATGAAGGTCCAGGCACCCTTAAAGCTAATTCATGCTACACCTAATCCTTTTTAATACTCTACTTTTGACCTCACCTGTTTTGACTTGCGCATTAGAGTGCAAATGCAGAGAATAATACTTCCCATTTTTGTCTCTAACCATCTTTCTCTTCTATCTTTCCAGGAGTACCCTTGACAGCTTCTCTCGACACAAACAGTATCAATATTTATATTTACATTGAATATTTATATATAAAAATAAAAAAAATTTTTATTGTTACGGGCTATGTCCATGTTCTCATTTTTTAAAATTGTCATGTCGTCCATATCGTATCATACAGTTATTGTGTGTACATAGTCATTAGCATGAAAAGTGGCTACATGTCACGGACACGCTCTGGTTTTCTTCACTATGATGTTGTAACACTAATGCCGACATCATTCCCCCGTAGAAATCTGGTGCAGCTATCGCATCTCCAATAACCCCAAGCTCCGGATACTGTGTCCAACTGATCAATCCTTCTTCGAACTGAGCAATTCCATGCCGCTTTCCCACAACTACAAGATCATAGGTATTTGCTAAAAATCGAAGTGCCTGCATAACTTCCTCACTGTTATGTGCCACCAACTCATGACAAACAACACAAGCATTGCTATCGTTCATAGCCTTGAAGTCTCTGAGCAAGGACTCATCTAGCTCCCTCTCAATTTCAAATTCCAATGTTCTATTTCCTCTCAAGTGAATCCTCAATAACGTGATTGCAACAGATGGATGCCTTGACATGCGAGCTGCAAAAACTAATGCCTCGCGATCGTCAGCTCCACCAAGAAAGATCACTGCCACGTTATAAGAGAAGCTAGTTAAACTGAAATGGGTGCGCAACCCTCTATCCACCAGAATCCCAACCGTGCACTTTGCAAATGCTTGGATGTTATTGTTGAAAATCCGCAAGGTGCCATCGGTGCTATGGACATCTTGGCTTTTGAAAAAGGGAACTATAATTAGAGGTGTACGTATCATTTCAGCAAGCCTGCATATTGGTTGATGCATGTACTTAAAGGGGGAAATCATTCTGAAGGGCTGAACTTGAACTGGACCCCGTGAGTGTTCCGCGTAGTTTAGAAATGCTCGCATGATGTTATCTGAGCCATTGGGCTTGCTAAACATTCTTTTGTGATTCTTGTAAGGGGCTAAAGTTGGAACAGTTTGGCTAGCCAGTGCAACAAGATGGATAACATAGGCACAGATTGGGCTTACTTCCTTGGGGTTCAATGCTTCAAGGAGGCTAATGATGCTTGGGACGTTGTCTTCCTCTTGAACGCAGGTAATGACCCGTAATTCTCCAATGCTTGAAGTCATTTCAAGCGACCTAGCGCGTTGTGTGACAGAGTCAGGCAACTCAAAACCCTTTACCTCAGGCTTGTAGTAGATTTCTATTGTGGGTGTTATAATCGCATTCAAGATAATAATGCTCATCACCAAAGTTGCAAAATTCTGGTCATCTAAAAGCTGCACAATACTAGCCAGAATTTAATTATTACCATATAATAATTCACAAATATAGCTAAACATGTAGATAAAAAGGGTACAGCCCAAAATCTGACCTTTTGATGTTTCCATCGAATGCCTTGAAGTAGTTCAACTATACCTTGTAAACTCAAAATAAGGCTTAGCAAGATCGCAGTGCTTTTCCTCATGTTGAAAGGCAATGAAACCAAGATACTTCCTACTATCCTCCCTAAGTACCCTACGGCGATGACTGCTCCAAAGGCTATCAACTCCTTCCAATCCTGTATTGCTGACAAATTGGTAAAATAACCGATGCGAACAAAGAACAAAGGCAGAAAAAACTCTGAGATGAAAAGTTCACATTTTTCTGTTATTGTTGCACCCAGAGGTGGTCCATCTGGTATGACAAAGCCCATAATCATAGCTGCAGGACTGAAGGATGCACCTACAGCATCAGTGGCCACTCCCAATAACAATGTCCAAAGTAAAATTGCTATAACATAACATTCATGCACTGGTTTCCCCTTTGGTGTTCTCTTAATAATCCAATGTAACACTGGTCGTATAACAAAGATTACGAATGCTGCCAATCCACACAGAGAAAGGATGGCATAAAGCATATCCTTTTTATCTTTCTGCCCTAAAGCAACTCCAACCATTACAAGAAAGCCTGAAACAATTTCGTTGAGCATCGTGATTGATATGGAAAGTTGTCCCAACTCAGAACTTAAAAGATTAAGTTCATCCAGGGCATGAGCAATAACAATGAAATAACTTAGCGACGAAACTATACTGAATTGAATGGGGAAGGCTTTGCCGCCCCTAATTCCAGGGAGGAAATGGTCTAGCGATAATGTGCACGCTACAGTGAATAGAAAAGGAATGATCATGCAAGACAGGCCAATTCTCCAAGTCTCCTTTGCTGTTCTGGAGAGCATAGCTGCATCCATTTTGATACATATAAGGAAGATGAATAAGGTAGTAGCCATGTTTGACATAGTGGCAGTCACTACCATCTCTTTTGGTGCAAACATTTTCTCCATGTATAATTTGCTGCGCCCAAGGACGGAAGGTCCTAGGATAAGTCCAGCCTGGAAAACAAATCCCTGTATTATGCTAGATTTTCATTCAATTTATCTTTTTCTCTAAAGCTATAGGCAGAAGTATCGATATCAAAATGCATATCAAATTCCATAACCAGTTCTTCGATTCATTTTCAAGCTTAAACATTCCAAGTACTAGTAGTTGTTTTCCAATAATTCTCACGAGTCAGCAACTAGTTAGACTGGTAGTCTGAAATGGCAGAAGAGTTCCGCCACCAAATCTACCTAGCCAGAGGGAAAATATTCCCCAAAAAACTATTAAGATTATATTTGAAATGAACAAAATTGATAACGATAACTTTCAAGTTTCATACTTGTATTAAGGACAAAGCAGAGAAACATTAATCTGAAACAAACTAGTAAAAGCCCTGTTCAGAGGAATAGAGGATATGCTTGACATCTTATGAAATTGCTTGTTTTAAGTATAGATATTTAAAACTACATATTATTATTCAAGAACACCGAAACTTGATGGAAGAAATTAAAAAAAAAAAACCCTCATAAATACTGATAAGACTAATAACATAACAGAACTATAACTTACCAAGATATTGCAGACAAGTTTAGATTGTTTTAATGGCCTGAGAGTAACGTGGATCGCCCGAGAGATCAGGACAGACAAGATGACTTGAAGCATAAAGACAGGAACGATGTAGTCCAAAGGGTTACCGCTCAAAAACATGCCATTGAAGTGCATGTTCTTATTCAATAAAACGCAAACCTGCGGGTGAATGAGTGTGTTATTTACCGTAGTGGAACCCATATTTCTGCCTTAAACCAAAAACTTTCAGGTCAGGCAATATGAGACTCTCCAGTATCACTCTATTAATTTACATATTCCTATGAATCATGTTTGAATATAAGCAAATACAAGAACATACAATTAATTAGAAGAAACAAAAAATCTTAGTTGCAAAAGCAATATTTGACAAATTGATAAGGACAGAACAGGATATCGATTGGTCGGGTGGTTTTGGTTGGAAAGAATTGTCTAAATGTTATATTGAATTGGTTTTGCAGTTTCATTTATGCTACCTGGAATGCAGGGAAGACAAATTCTTCTTGTTAGGATCCCATTTCTTTTCTGTTGGTAACAAAATAATAACAAAAAAACTAGAAGTAACCGTCAAACTAAACCTAATTATACTGAGTTGTTTATATTCTATTTTGTTGGTTCAAGTAAGAACAACGAAAGACACGATAGAATTTGGTTATAGATAATTTATTACCAACTGGAAAATTAATTTTTATTGTTTTGTCATAACCTAAGAATTTGTCACTTGTCAAAAACCAATGCAAAAAAGATGTGAAATACATGACTTGTCCTCTCTCTCTCTCTCTCTCTCTTTATATATATATATATATATATATATATCTAAAGTGTGAAAAATGCACTTTTATCTTTATTTCAATAATTATTTAAATTCTTAATATTTTGTTACAATCACTCAAGCTATTAATATTATATTTCGACTCAATTGAATTTTTAAATGGATGAAATTTAACCACAAGATAAAATTTAATCGATTAATCTCCGAATTATAGTCAATTAAATATTTAGAGAGATCTTAATGAGAGAGACATAGAAAATAGAAAAGAAAAAAAGAAAAAAATTATTTTATTTAATTTTTACATATATTAATAGTGTCATGGGGCAAACTTTCATTTATTTTATTGATATCACATGAAATTTTATCTGGGTTAGACAAAAAAATTAACAATGTTAAAGTTTATATCCATATAAAAGTTTAATTTAATGCAAATAAATATCAAAAGAATTGATTGATTATAATAAAAAAATGACTTAAATGATTTTTTTAATTGTAATTTATAGGTTTTTTTATACATTTTAAACCCTCTTCTTTTTGCTTGAAAGAGTTGTCCAAATTTGATGTGATTAACTTGAAACTTTTTAGAAGGGGGATTGTAGGACCTAATATTTTATTAAATAATATATTACAGGACATAAAGATAAATAAATAATTAAATAATATATTTTTATATATTAATGAGTATATATTTGATGCACTGTTAATGTATAGATCTATGTATTGTTAGTAAATTAGATGATGTTACCTAATTAATAATGTGAGTTAGATGATACCACCTCATTAATGAATAAATTTTTTAAAATGTGTTAACTTTTTATACATTTATTTTTTAGAGCTTATATTTTATACACTGTCAGTGTATAGATTCTATACACTGTTAGTGAATCAAATGATGACATTTCATTAATAAACAAATATAAACCTTTAAAATAAATATACACAAATTAAAAGTTTTAAAAAAATTTACTCATTAATGAGGTATTATCATCTAATTCACTTAATTAATGAGTTGTCATCATCTGATTTACTAACAGTATATAAAATTTATACACTGACAGTATATTAAATATAAACTCTTTTATTTTAAAGGTTGATATTTACTTATTAATGAAGTGGCATCATCTGATTCACTAACAGTATAGAGTCTATACACTGATAGTTCATCAAATATGAACTCTATATTAAAACCCAATATTTACATATATCTAATCTCACTTAAATATCAATTAAATTAATCAAGTCATTTGTTAGGCTTTATTTTGTTGATTATTTATTTTGTCATAAAAATAATTATTATAAAGTTTATTTTATTTTTATTTGAAAAAAATAAAATATAGACATGCTTCAATAGTTTACTTTTAGGCTAAAAGATATGAAAAAAAAAAAAAAAAACCATTGAACTATAATTAAAAGGTCATTCAAGCCCTTAATTTTTATTATAATCAATCAACCCTTTTAACATTTATTTGCATCCAATTAGACTCCTATTTGGATGAAAAAGTTAACATCATTAATTTTTTGTCAACTAAGATAAATTTCATGTAATATCAATAAATAGATGAAAGTTTGCCAAGTGGTACAATTAAAATATATGAAAAAGAAATAAAATAAACTTTTTTTTCTTGCTCTCTCTCTTTTATTCTCTATTTTCTCTGTCTCTCTCTCATTAAAGATTCAATTGATTTTAGTTTGGGAATAGATTTATTTAGTTTTGTCACATGACTAGATTCCGTCTGTTTAATGGTTCAATTGAGTCAAGATAGAAAACTAAGAACTTAATTAATTGTAATAAAATGTTAAAGGCTTAAATGATTATTAAATTACAATTCAAAGATATTTTTGACCCTTTAACCTTTTTTTATTTATGACTAGATTTAAGAAGCCTAATATGACCTAAACAAATTTAAAATTTATTAATATCCTATAAGTTTAGACTCGACCCATAAACAAGTCTATTTATGTCCTCCTTCTCACTAAGGAACTTACCTTGAATGGTAGAAAATTGAGTGGTGACCATTAAAGGTCAACACTTAAGGCCCTTAAAATAAAATTAAGTTTGCGAGCATCCAAGAAATTACCAACCATCCATAAACATAATGAATGCAAGTGTGTGACTAATTTGAAAAGGCTTAAGGGTTAATCTGGTGATCTTCCTCTTTAGTTTGTATTCATCTATTCTAGGATAGTTTTTTCTTTAGCTTGCTTGTAATATATTCTAGCAGTGGACCATTATCATTGTGCTTTTTACAGCTAACTTCACCTTTTAAAATAACATAATCTTCCTAGTTGTTCAAAATTGCCCCCATTTTCTCATATATATTTTAAAGTGATTCCATTTAGGAGACATTTGGTTCAGAGAAAAATAATTTTCTCTCTTAAGATCTTATTTTTTGTAATTTGATTATTTAATTTAGTTGACGAGAATATGATTATTAGGGTTTTTTAAGATTTCCAATAGTATCAAGTAGTAAGAAAGTAGGGGAATAAAAAACACTCTTCTTTTTGAGATTTTTTAAGATTTCAGAGGGAAAGTGTTTTCTTCATTTGTATTCACTTAATTCCATTTGCAAATTATAAAAATAAAGTTATTTATCTTAGAAACATAATAATTTTTTTATAAAATATTATGAAAATAAAATTTTTCTCAATATATTTTAAACAAAGATCTTGTTTTTAACATAGTGTTATTGAAGTTTTCACAAAAGTTATGATTAAAAACATGATTTTTATTGAAAAAATGAAAAATTTATTTTTCATAATTCAACAAAAATGTTATTTAAAAAGATAGCCTTTGTTAAAAATATGAAAACAATTTTTTTTTTCAGAATTTAACAAAAACGACATTTTTAAGATAAAAAAATGCTATCCTTTTGAAAAGACAACATATCTAAAATAAAAACGCTATTTTTGTAGTAAATATGAAAAATATATAATTTTCAGAATTCAACAAAAATAATGTTTCTAATATTAAAAGACACAATCTTTACTGAAAATATAATATTTCTAAAATAAAAAATAGTATTTTTTAAAAACATAAAAAATATATTTTTCAAAATTCAATAAAGATAACATTTCTAAGATAAAAAATGTTATCTTTGTTGAAAACATGAAAACTATAGTTTTCAAAATTCAATAAAAGCAACATTTCTAAGCTAAAACATAGTTTTTGTTGAAAAGAAAATATTTCTGAGTTAAAAATACAATCTTTGTTGAAAACATAAAAAATATATTTTTTAGAATTGATAAAGATGGTGTTTCTTAGATAAAAACATAATTTTTATTGAAAATACGATTTTTCTAAAATAAAATGCAACCTTTTTTTTGAAAATATGAAAAAATAAAAATAAAAGGTAAAATATCTTCATTTAATATTATTATATATAAAATTTAAAATATATTTATTTAATAAAATGTAAAATAAAGATCGATCTATTTGTTTTCTCTGTATAGTGACAATAATGTTAATATAGTAATTAGAATTATAAGATTATATTTGTTGAAAATATAAAAAATTAATTTTCAGATTATTTAGTTTTAACAAATATAACGTGTTATTCACGTGTTACATTTTATTCACATATTAATATTATAAATGTCACGTATTATTTATCTGTTATCAAAAATAATATAATAAAAAATTTTATTAGATAATCTTACATTTTTGTGAACTAAATACAAAAATTTTACATTTTCTAAATCAACAAAATTCAAAAATTACATATTCCCCTTTAATATCACTTTCTTTCTAAATCATTTTCTCTCTCAAAATTTATAAATCCTTAAACTAAATGCTACCTTAAAGATTTGTATATGATACATGTTTATCGGCCCTTATCTAAAACTGCCTTCACATGTTTGCCGCATGACATCTAAAAGCAATATTCTTGAGTAAGAGTAGTATTAGGACGAGTGATTTCTTGAATAAAAAAACTTTTAATAGAGAGTTGACCTGGATCATTTAAGCACTAACGCATTAGATCTTAGCAGAACCGTTGAAAACTGAGCTCGTATCCTTTGATGACAATTTTGTGCTTAATTATGGGTGAATAAGAATTTGGGCTCAAATAAAACTTTCCTTTGAGAATGCACCCATGAAAGCACAGACGAATTCTACAAGCAAAATTTGGTGTCGACAGTGGGAAAAAACTGTTCATCAAAGCAGAATACTCACTCCTTTGTGTCAAAACAAAAACTTTTTATAATCATATTTATTTTATATTAAATATGTATAAAATATAAAATTTATTATATCATAATTCGTATTAATACATTAAATACAAAAAATATTTTTTATTTTTTATCAAATTTATATAATTTTTTATTAAAATTTTAAATTATATTCCTTTTATATTTCTCTTATTGTTTAAGCATTATGTAATTGTGTTGTATTTAAAATTATTAAATTTAATTTTTAACTACACAAGTCACGAAAAAGGTTATCCTTCAGCACTAATTAATTAGAGAGAAAGAGATTAAGATTT